TGGCAGTGCTCCTCCTGTCCCTCCTTGCACAAAGGCGGAGGTAGCGGTCCTGGTGCTGGGTTGTTGCCCTCCTACGGCCTCCTCCATGTCTCCTGATGTACTGGCCTGTCTCCTGGTAGTGCCTCCATGCTCTGGACACTACACTGACAGACACAGCAAACCTTCCTGCCACAGCTCGCATTGATGTGCCATCCTGGATGAGCTGCACTACCTGAGCCACTTGTGTGGGTTGTAGACTCCGTCTCATGCTACCACTAGAGTGAAAGCACCACCAGCATTCAAAAGTGACCAAAGCATCAGCCAGAAAGCATAGGAACTGAGAAGTGGTCTGTGGTCACCACCTGCAGAACCACTCCTTTATTGGGGATGTCTTGCTAACTGCCTCTGCTTTCCACCTGCTGTCTATTCCATTTGCACAACAGCATGTGAAATTGATTGTCAATCAGTGTTGCTACCTAAGTGGACAGTTTGATTTCACAGAAATGTGATTGGAGTTACATTGTGTTGTTTAAGTGTTCCCTTTATTTTTTTGAGCAGTGTAGTTTGCCATTCCTTCTTCAACTTTCTAATTTAGAATCCAGCCCTGGGAATCCCTGGCACTTCCCATTCAAGCACTAACCAGATCCCTCCCTGCTTAGCTCTTTGGGGATCAGTCATGGAGATGCAGAGGCATCTACAGGAAAACTATTCAGCTTTAGGCCGAAGGAACTTCACTTCCTTCTAGCTGACCGCAGGGAGGGCAGAGCATGGACAAGGCAATCAAGCGAGATCCCTCTCGGTATTGATCCAATTCCTTGGACAGAAATCCTTTGGGGATCAGGAAAGTGTTTATCTTCTCCCAGCCCTTTTAATATATTGTTCTAATATTTTATAACTTACTTACCTATTAGAAGTATTCCTACACTGTACTTCATCAAAAGAAAAATCCTTTCAGTAAAGTAAAAAGAACAAAATTGCAGACAAACAAGATGAAAACAAACAATTAGAGAATGCCGGAGAGACCCTAAACTTTCCAATATTATATTTTGTCATCTGTGTCATGCAAAGGTGCCCCCAATCCTCAACTCATGGAGCTCATCAAGGAGAACACTGCCGTGTGTGTGTGTTTGTGTGTGTGTGTGTGTGTGTGTGTGTTATTAAAATCAGCTTAGAGATCAAAAATGGTAGCACTTAATCATGGAGAAAATGACCAACTTGGACTTCGAAGTATTTTGCAAGTATATGACTGCACGTCTCTATGGTTTATAAAAGCACGGTTGGCAGAGTAGTCACCCTACTAACCCTCGGAAGTAATCAAAAGGGCTCCACTGGATACCTAGAGTGACAATGAGTAAACCTACTTGACTATTCTCATTGTTAAGTAACAGTCAAGACTCCATGGTCCAACAGGTGTGTGTGTGTGTGTGTGTGTGTGTGTGTGTGTGCCAGGTCGACTATGTAAGGAGTCTTCTGCCACCGATACCGCAGCCATTCTCTTTTCCTCTTCCCTCTCTGCATATGTAGTACATTTAAATCTGTTCTAGAAACTATCTTCAAAGTTTTGCTTTGAAGAGTAAGGTAGCAATAAAGGAGACTATTCTGGGTTGAACTGGGGGGGTCCTTGGCGCTCTCTGAGCCTGCTTATTTTCTTGCAGACGTTTCCTTACTCTTAACTAGGTATCATCATCAGTGCTGGAGACTAGCACTAGCACAGAGAGCACCAAGGACCCCTCAGAGTGAGGTAGGTTTGTTTAAAATTATTCTTCAAGAATTGATACTTATTTTTTTATACTATTTGTATGAGTAAATATAAAACATATGTATGTATAAATATCAACTCAATTGCGATACATGGAGCATTAAAATATTATTCACTTCAGGCTGGTGCTTTCGGCTTCGTGCTTGTGTGAGCAAAGCGTGATTGGAGCTGCCGTCTCTCTATAAATACTGGTGGGGAGGTTGGCTGTGTTGTTATTTCTTGCTTGGTTGATGGAGTTGGTGTTTGCAGATTGGTTGGCTTTTCCGTGATGTGATATCCTGAGCGGGTGGCTGTGATGTGCCGCTCAGGATATCACATCGCGGAACTCAGGAGGTTACACCACAAAACCTCAGGATGTTACAACACAGCCAACAACACAGAATGTCACAACAATAGAACTCAGAAGGTCATCACACAGCCTATGACCCAGGTCATTACAACCCAGGAGATTACAGCACAAGACCCAGGATGTCAAAACGATAGAACTCAGAAGGTCATTACACAGCCCATTACCCGGGTCGTTAAAACACAGGAGGCTGATAGACACACAGCCAATACCTCAGCCACACATGTTCTTACGAAAAAGCCAGCCAATCTGAAAACATCAACTCCATCAACCAATCAAGAAATGACAACACAGCCAACCTCCCCACCAGTATTTATAGAGAGACAGCAGCTCCGATCACGCTTTGCTCGCACAAGCATGAAGCCGAAAGTACCAGCCTGAAGATGGCGAGTGGGACCTCGTCGAAACGTCGCCAAGATACTCTCAATCTGACACGGGAAAAGACCCGAACACGCCAAGACCTGCATACCTGTACCCGTGAAAATCTATGAAAAGATTATAGATAGATATGGAAATATATATATATTCCCTTTTATGAACCCTAGTACAAAGAGAGGCATCTTCTCCTCATTCCTTCAACCCACAACAATGGCACTGTGTCAAAAGTCATTCTTTTGCAGCTATGAAAGCAGGGAAAGCTCAAAGGTGGCACGTGAAATAAAAAGTTCCCTTATCCTGCAGGTCTGTCCCGTGTAACGGGCTGATACAATTTTCTTCTTCTACCCTTGCTTCAAAATGGGCAGCATGAACTACAGTGCTAACCAGGGGTGGGATGCTACCGGTTCTGTCCTCTATAGAACTGGTAGCGCTGAAGAACCAGTTCTGTGTCTGCTGCTGTTTGGCCCACCCACCCAGGCTCTTACCTGACCTTTATTTCCTGCTTTTTCAACCTCAGCTGCTTTGCGCAGCACAGCTGAGGTTGAAAAAGCAGGAAAAAAGTGGCTTTTCAAATGCTGCGCACCCGCGTGCAGTGCTTTCCAGTTGTCCGGGCGGCACAGCTTAAGGTTTTTAGCATGTGCGCATAGTGCGTATCTGGTCCACAAACTGCACATGCAAAACATAGTCACCGAACCGGTAGTAACACCGGTTGAATCCCCACTCCTGGTGCTAACCATACCCTAAGCTGCCCAAGACGGCAGGTGGGACCAGCAGCTCAGCTGCTCACTCGCCTGCAGGAACCCCAGGGGAAGCCCCCCCCCCATGGCCTCAGAGGACCTGCTGACCATGTCATGTGACCGTGTCCCTTAGCCAGACATGGCGGGCCCAGGTGCTGTCATTAAGCAACGGCTTCCTGTGCGTAGTTAAGCTTAATTTTAGCCGCTTTATAGAAGTAGAAGTTATTTTTCACATTTGAAGAACACAGAAACTAAGAAAAAAAAGCACTGTCCCAACACCATCAACATTAAGGTGCTTCCAACACGAAACACTGAGACTAAACACACGGCAGATTCTGAGAATGCGTTAGGTTTTAACAGCTAAATAAAGCATAAAATGAGGCACATGAAAAGATGAGAGAGGAACCCAAGGAATGGAATGACAAAAAGACGCTGTCTAGCAATCGAAACGTGAGGCTCCTAACCGTTTTCTTTGTATCCCATTCCAAGGATGACTTCTGGTGCTCGGTAGTAGCGCGTCACGACGTAAGGAGTCATCATGAAGCTGGTCCCGGCTGTTCTGGCCAGCCCGAAATCTAGAATCTTCAGTGTGCAGTCAGCTTTCACCACAATATTGCTAGGTTTTAAATCCTTTGAAGAGAAAGACGTGAAATCCAAGGAATATCAAAAGCAGGATACAAAAAAGAAATCAGCTCAACAACTACGACCACGCTTGGCAGCATCTCTGTGAAAATAGCACAAAATGTACTCCTCTTTAATAACTTCTGCAAGTTATTACATGCATTCTTCTTTCAGCTCTCAGGAGGAGGGAAAATACACAGCTCTGAAATTGACAGGAAGGGCTGTTGCTGGCATCGGCCCTTCCTGGAGGAGATGTAATGCCCTTTGCATTTCTCATTTAATAAGGAACAGGGGATTAGTCATGGAGCCGCTTACAAAGCGACTTGATGCAGTAGTCCTTTCCTACTCTCTAGTTAATAAAGTTAAGGCATGTGAGCTAACTGAGAGAACTTATGTAAAAAAGTAAATTCTTCCTTCAGTGGAGTTCAACTCTAGACAGAAAACAGGACGAGGTGAGCTAATTCTACTGTCAAGCCCAAAATTGACATATGTGTAGCCATTTTAGTGAGGCTTAATATATATATTATTTTCCTTACTTTCTCTGTGGCAGTCATGGGGGAAGGGTTTCGGGCTCGCCACATTCCTAAGGGGGGAGGAGTGGAGATAGAGTTGTCTAGGCTAGGTGATCTTCCTTCCCGTGGGAAACGAGCTGTCCGTGCTTGGGCCCCTGGAGGTGGAGATTTATGACATCAAGCATCATTGAATTATTTCTATTGGAGAATGTGACTTTGGGGGGTTGTTTCTAACTTGTAATATTGTGGGGTAATTCCGGGTTGTGTCAGATCCGGAATTACCATGGACTTTGCCAATTTGATACTTTTCTAAATAAAAGAAATCTTTTTTGAAGATGGACTTTGTATTTTTCTTTTAAAATGGATTTCATCCCTTGGAAACCTGATATCTAGTTTATTCTAAGGATACCCTAGCAGAATCTTGCAAGCCTGAAAGTTCTGCCACCACTTTCAGTTGGCTTGATCCATCAGGATGGATCCCTCCCAACGACCTTTCTCTGATGGTTAACCCATTGGGGGCTCCTGCAAATCTTGTCTGATTGCTTTCTAAGTAGCCTCTCTTCCGGACTTCTTCACCAAGGTCATCCACTCCTTTCCTCCATGATCCTCTTCAGAATTTCCAGTCAGGTTTCTTTATAGGGCAAAGCCCTAATATTCCCTGATCCTCTCATCCAAATGCTTAATCGGATCCAACCCTGCTTAGCTTTTCCAATAGCACCTCTGGTTGGCTATGCACCACCTCCTTCTGGGAACTGCACGAACAGTAGAATTCTTGGACATTTTTAATACAGAAGACAGATGAAATGTGTTTTCACATCCACCATTACATCCAGAATATTTAGTGATCAATTAAATAGCATCCCTCTTAGAATAGAATGCAGTCATATTTATCATGCCTAGACTTCAGTTGTACCGAGAAGATGATTTAAGAATAAATCCAGTTAATTAAAAGCAAGTGACACAAATACTAGTCAAGTGTTATATTTGAGAGGAAGCCTGTAAAATTGGCCCAGATATTCTTTCAGGTATATTAAAATCTGCTTAGTTTAATAAAGAAAAGAAAATCACGAGACACGTAAAACGACAGAAATGACCTCACTAACCCTATGTATGATTCCAGCCGAGTGGAGGTGCTTGATGCCACACAACATCTGATACAGCAAGTAGGACATCCGTTCGTGGTCAAGCTCCATCTGGATGACTTGGCAGAGATTGGCATCCATGAGCTCCATCACTATGTAACTTGGGAAGGAGGGGAAACAGGCAGTGAAGGGAAACGGCCGAATGGCAGTCTCATCGTATCGTCAGTTGGGCATTACTACGGTTAACACAGGCTTCCCAAAATTTATACTTACACATCTTGGAATTCTTCCAGTGATTTCTGTGGAGTGAACACGTTTAACAGACCAATTATCTATGAAAAAGAAAAAAGGTATCGTAATAAGCACACCATTTTTGATTATCATTTATATAAAAAGTAAAAAATAAGCTGCAAAACTGGAGAATCTGATCAACTTAATCTTAAAGCACTAAAATCTCTATATTGTTCGCTAATTTACACCCAGTTTACAATACTGATCAATTTTATCCTTACTGTTGAAAAATGCCCAGATTTAGAATTCGATGGTCTAGAATGGAAAGAGAAAATCCTTCTCGAGTAGTTAGTACAAAATTAACTTGAATAAACAAACCATAAAACAAGAAAATGACAGGTGTGTGGTTACGAGAAAGTTAATACCTAAAAGGAACCAGTGAGTTATGCAGGCAGATATGAGGCATCTCTCTCTCTTCCTTAACTATGCACGGTTTCTAAAACATAAAGAAGCTAAGAGAAAATTGTTCAACTGACTCCCAATTTAACTTAATGCCAGGTATAAATGTATATAGCTATATAATATCCTCCCAGAAAATTCAGACAAAAGAGACATGATCTTTGAAAAGTATTCCTATGTAGTCTACAGGGATTCCCCCATGCAAAATAAAACGGCCGCCCACTGCAGGATCCTAGTTCTTTTGTTTTTCTAGAAAACCAGGAAATTCAGGGCTGAGAAATCATTCACTCCCGGCCATATGTGAAGCCAAACGAAACTTTTTATAACCACCCATCTTTTCTCAGCTAGTGAATAATGAGCCATGGCAGTTTTGGGGCTAGATAGGAAGCAGGGAGGAGAGGCTCATGTCCCTCCTTCCCAGAGACTTGAGCTCAATCTGTGTGTGTGTGTGTGTGTGTGTGTGCTTCAACTCTTCTTAATTTATCTTTACCCCTGGAATGGTAAAGACAGCAAAAGAATCACTTCCTAAAGGACAACTTTGATATTATCTTTAACTCTGCACAAATATACTTACATTTTTGTGGTTTACACACTTCATGAGGACCAATTCTCGATAGGCTCTTTTAGCATGTGTTTGATTTTGAAACGGTCGGCTGAGTTTCTTGATTGCAACATTTCTTTCAAGAAGAGCATCATAAGCTGCACTGTGAATAAAAGAAAACTGCCATCACTCACAAGCATGCAACCAAGCACCGCCAGAAATGGATTCAAAAGGTATTTATCAAAATTATATTAGCAGTACATAATTTCAGCTTAGATGACAGAATTCAATAAGGGCATACGCAAGAGCTGAAGCATGAATTTTAGGTATGAACCCAAGAGGAAATCTGGAGCCAGATCAGGCAGAGTGAATTCTACACTTACTGCAATATAAGCTATTAATATTTTTGTTCTTCTCCAGAGGAATGAGTACAGGGACACGGTATCGTCTATGGGACTAAATGATTCTGATTTTTTCCAGACAATAGAGCCCGTCTCTTCTTCAGTGCTCAAGGGCTTCAATTAGACATGGCTGCTGCCATTTACCTTTTTCCCCACCGAAAAGTTAACACTTAAAGAATTTAACAGAATGTACCACCCTGTTGAAGCACCATCTGGAATTAAAAGCAACTTCATGTGGAAAAAAAAAAGAACCTTGGAATGAAAGGCCACATAACAAAGAACCTCCTCTCTTTTCCTGAGTCCGTAGAGGCCCATGAGCAACCTCCAGTGAACAGGAATCCCATCTGTGAGGGAACAAATTGGAGTTTCCTCTTCTTTATTGCTTTCCATCTGAAACTCTGATTCTATTCAAGAAGAAGCTCCTTCGTCTCTATGGAGACATTGCGGGTGGGGGGAGGGGAGGGAATGCCTCTCCTCCAGGGAAGGGTGCTGGCTGGGGAAAAGACTGTTTCACTCTGTCCGGTCCAAAATGAGGGTCAAAATGATGGCAGGGTGTTGGATGAAAGGGACTGAAAGCCAGAATAAAAGCGGGACACCTTTACGGCAAGCACAGAGTTGATCCTATGTAGACTACTTCTTCCGAGAAAGGAAATCAACATTGCTCCATCTTTGATTGTCTCCTCTTCTTCAATAAAAAGAGATTATTTCACTGGGGAAAATGCCTTACCATACTATCCCCTGTGCACCTGAACCAATCGGCTTCAGATTCTGGTATCGCTTTAATACGGTGAAAGTAGAATCTCCAATTTCAACACTGTAGAAGTTACTTTCACGCTTGCTTCTGCTCATGATGCCTCCAGCTGATGAGCTTAAGCTAAAGGACACCAACCTGCAACACATAAATCAACATTTTCCAGACTCTCACAAAATGGCACACAATCCTGTCATGTTTTTCTTCACTACATAAATAAAAGAAGAATGCTGCTAAATTGCATGTAGGAACATCAGGTACATACTTCATGGTTTACATTAGTTAAGTAATGAGCAGAATTATTTTCTGTTCAACTCTAAGAAAATTTGGCTTTCATTTCTAAGCCAATCTGAATTAAATTGCACATTCACATAAATGATTCTACAATCTCAACCTTTCATTCCTACATCCATAGTGTCATGTCAAGAATTTAGGAGCATGCAACCTGATTTTGCAACCAATCATCTGTGACAGTCCCACAAGGCGACAATGCAGAAAAAACAAGACTACCTCCCAGTTCTACCCTTTCCAGAGGCAACTGACCCCAAATTGCTTAGCAAAAAAAAAGGGGGGGGGAGAGGGGCAACTAAACACCCTACTGAATATTGAACACAAATCACCGGGGGCCGATGGATGACATCCCAGAGTTTTAAAGGAGCTGGCAGAGATCATCTCAGAACCACTGCACCATATCTTTCAAAAATCCTGGAGCACCGGGGAACTACCAGAGACCTGGAAAAGAGCTGATGTGGTTCCCATCTTCAAAAAAGGAAAAAAACAGACCCAGGAAACTATAGACCAAACAGGCTAACATCAATACCCGGGAAGATACTGGAAAAGATAATAAAAAAACAGAGCTGCCAATATCTAGAAACAAGTAAAGTAACAACTAGCAGTCAGCACGGGTTTGTTAAGAACAGATCATGCCAAACCAATCTTATTTCATTCTTCAACATAGTGACTAAATTAGTAGACCAGCAAAATACTGTGGACATAATATACTTAGATTTCAGCAAGGCATTTGACAAAGTAGACCACAACCTACTTTAGTAAGTTAGAAAAAAGTGGAATAGATAGCACCACCACTAGATGGACTCGCAACTGGCTAACAAATCGTACTCAACCAGTAGTCCTTAATGGGTCTAAGTCTACATGGAAGGAAGGAAGGAAGGAAGCAGTGGGGTGCCACAAGGTTCTGTCTTAGGCCCAGTACTCTTCAATATCTTCATTAACGACTTAGATGAGGGAATAGAAGGGGAACTTACCAAATTTGCAGATAATACTAAGCTGGCAGGAATAGCTAACACCCAAGAAGACAGGCTCAAGATCCAGATGGATCTTGACAGACTAGAACACTGGGCCATATCTAACAAAATGAAATTCAATGTAGAGAAAAGTAAAATCCTCCACTTAGGCAAGAAAAACCAAAAGTACACATATAGACTGGGTGAAACCAGGCCCAATAGCAGTAACTGTGAGAGGGATCTTGGAATCCTAGTAGACAACCAGCTAAATATGAGCTAGCAGTGTGCAGCAGCAGCCAAAAAAGCCAATGCAATCCTAAATTGCATTAACAGAGGGATACAATCGAGATCAAGGGAGGTACTAATACCACTTTATAAAGCCACACCTAGAGTACTGCATCCAGTTTTGGTCAACACATTATAAAAAAGATGTTGAGACTCTATAAAAAGTACAGAGAAGAGCAACCAGGATGATTAGGGGACTGGAGGCTAAAACATGATGAACGGTTGCAGGAACTGGGCATCATGGCTAGTCTAGTAAAGAGAAGGACCAGGGGAGACAGGAGAGCATTCTCCCAATATTTGAGGGACTGCCACAGGGAGGAAGGGGTCAATCTATTTTCTAAAGCGCCTGTAGGCCAGACAAGGAATAATGGATGGAAACTGAACAAGGAAAGATTTAACCTGGAAATAAGGAGAAACTTTCAGACAGTGAGAACAATCAACCAATGGAACAGAAGTTGCCCTCCGAAGTTGTGGGAGCGTCATCACTTGAGACCTTCAAGAAGAGATTGGACTGCCATTTGTCAGAAATGGTGTAGGGTCTCCCGCTTGGGCAGGGGGTTGGACTAGATGACGTACAAGGTGCCTTCCAACTCTGATTTATCTGTTAGATCTGTTAGAATATTTTCAAGCATTTTCAAAAGCCTCTTGTCCCACATCGCCATTTCAAATTATACCATGTTGGAGGAGGCCATTTGGCCTAATGTCATGCTCAGTGTGGGAATCCAAATTAAGGCATTCCTGACAAATTGTTTTTTATTGTATACAAACAGAGGAAAAGAATCTACCAAATTCCCTAATTGGCTGCACTGCACTTACCATTAGTGATTCTTTTTCCCCGTAAAATTCAACCTGAATCCACCTTCTTGTAGCTTAAATCCATTATTCCAAGTCCTGCATTCTGAAACGATAAAAAAAGGAAATCTCAGCCTTCTTCAATGTGACAACTTCATTCAGAGATCTAATCAGCGCTATCATCTCTAATCTGTGCAAAGCTATGTTTCCAATTCCTTCCATTTCCGGTCTTGGCTTCTAGTCCCTTTGAGGGCCCTCCTGGGAGTTGCTTTTAACCCCTTGAGTTTAACCCCAGGACAGGCAGCCTCAAACCACCCTGATCTTTGAAGCGCTTGTTCATATTCAGTTTGCAATCAGCTTCTATTCTTTTTCACACATGGTGTCAGCAAGGCAGGCACACCTCATTCTATACCGCACATTTAATTTGTAGACAAAACCTGGAGGGAAATGCAAAGGACACAGAAGTCACTGTTACTTTCAGCTGACTTGTCTCCTCCATCAAGATCATTTTGAATCCGGCTTCTGTGTTTTACAGGACCAGCTAAGCCACCCAATTCTGTATGGTAGGCATAATAAACCTTTAACTCGCCAGCTACGTTAACAACCTGAGCCTTGGAGAGCAGAGGGCCCAGGGTTCGCCCTTGGGGCGTTCTCCTGACCCCCCCCCCCCTTCCAGGTTGTCTTTATTTCCCTGCTTTAGGTCATTTGACATCCTTCCTTTCCTGATAATAATTGTGTCCCCCCCTCCGGGTAGGAATCCAAGGAATGCTCGGATACCGGGAGGGCTGAAGGGCCAGGGACGGACCAGGGCGACGCCCCCCACCCCCACCCCGGAACCAGCCAGGCCACTGAACCAGGATCGACGCGCTTCTAAGCCCTTGTTTCCCACCGCCATTCGCCGTAAGCCCGCTCTCAGCTCTGCGCGTCCGCAGGCTGCCTCGACTGCAAAAGAAAGAGCGGGGATCGTTTCGTGGTCCCTCACGGATGGGGGTTGCAGGCCAAGAGGCCCGAAGGATTGTGGAATTAAATCTGCATCTCCACCATTTTGAGGCGTGGGTTTCTTTTCCATTTCAAAATCTGACCTTAAAAATAACAAACCAGGACTTCATTCCCAGAGCGAAGGAAGCCGCCGCCGCCGCCGTCGCCATCCGCTCAGCTCTGCACCTGCCCGGACGCCGCCCCCCGCCGCCGCCTCAGCCCGGCCCCGAAGGAAGGAGGCCAAGGCCTCCAAAGGGCAGTGGGGCTCGGGCGGGGGGGGGGGAGGCTCGGGCGGCGCAGTCCAGGCGCGGGACGGGACGGGGGTGGCACCCCGGAGCCGCCGCCGCCGCCTCTCCGCTCCTCACCTTGGCCGACCCCCACGCCCACTTCAGACAGGCCGAGGTCCCGCCTTGCTCGGCCCTGCGCACCGGCCACGGGCCCAGCAGCCCCCGGGCGCTCAGGTGCACCGCTCGCCGCCGCGCCCTCCGGGTCGGCGCCGACAGGAAGGAAGGAGCCGCAGCTGCCGTCGATGCGGCCTCTCTGGCCGCCGCCTCTCCTCCTCTCCGCGGAAGCGACTCCGCCCCGCCCCTTCCTCCTCTCCCTCCCCCCTCCCCCCCGGGCACCTGGAGCGCCAGCCAGCCAACAGGCCCGCCCACCCGCCTGACGTGACTGCGCGCCACCTGCGCCCGCCCCTTCCGCTGCCAGGAGGAGGAGGAGGAGGAGGGTGGGCGTCAGTCTCCGCGAGCTGCGCCTGTGCGGGAGCCTCGGGTTGTTGGGGGGGCAGGAATCCTCTCTAGCAGCAGCGAGGGGACCCGGGCGGCCCCTGGGGAGAAGGGGTGCAGGTTGGGCGACACCTGGCTCAAAAGCAGCAACCCTGCTGGAGGGAGTCCCAGTCACGGAAGCACGAGCCAGCAGCCAAAAAGGCTTAACCCCACCTCCCCAAATCCTCGGTTGCATGAACAGAGGCATTGAGTCAAAACCACGTGAAGGATTAGCGCCGCTTTATCAATGAGGCCCCACCTGGAATCCTGCATCCAGTTTTGGTCCCTGCATTGCAAAGCAGATGTGGAGACTTCGGAGGAAGTGCAGAGGATTAGAGGCCTCCAGAGTAAAGCATAGGATGGCCGGACTAGAGAAAAATGAAGGACTGGGGATGACATGATGGCAGCTTTGTTCCAATATCTGAGGGGCTGCCCCAGAGAAGGGGGGGGGTGTCAACCTATCCGCCAAAGCCCCTGAGGGCAGGAGAAGAAGCACCGGATGGAAACTCATCAAGGAGAGAAGCAACCTGGAATTAAGGAGGAATTTCCAATCAACCAGTGGAACAGAAGTTGCCTCCAGAAGTTGTAGGTATTTCATCACTGGAGGCTTTTAAGAAAAGATTGGATTCCAGCAGTCTGAAGTGGTACAGGGCCGTGATGGTGAACCTATGGCACGCATGCCAGAAGTGGCACGCAGAGCCATTTCTCTGGGCACGCCGGCCGTCACCCGTTGTTCTTCTGGTTTCTGGCATGCACATGTGCACCGGCCAGCTGGTCTTTGCGTGCGCATGCGTGCCAGAAACTGGAAGACCAGGGGGGGTCTGAGCTTCCTGGTGTGTGCCGGGAAGCTGCTCTTCCAGTTTTTGGTGCTTCCCCCCAGCGCATGTACACCCTCCCATTTCGGTACTGGATGTTGAGAAGGTTCACTAACACTGGTATAGGGTCTCCTGCTTCAGCAGGGGGCTGGACTAGAAGACCTCCAAGGTCCCTTCCAATTCTATTCTGATGTAGCTCTACAGCATCTGGGCGGACCGAGCCAGAAAAAGCAAGATTTTGCCCAATGTTGACAGAGTTAAACACAGATGGAAGTCCCCTTTGCACCTGATGGATTTCTATAAGAGATTCTTAAATATTTTTTTTAAAAAGGAGGGCATGAATATTCAATTATTCTCTCTACCACCCTTGATTTGAAGCCTGAACTTTTGTACAGTATTCTGGGTATGGTGTTTAATTTAGTTTATTGTCATTGCACCTCATACAACGAAATCAACCCCCATCTTCAGTGCATTAGTGACATTGAGCTGGCCACGCCTTCCCTGACCACGCCCACACCCACCCACCCCTCCCCAAGGTCAAACACACCCCTGATGCAGCCCTCAATGAAATCGAGTTTGACACCACTGTTGTCAGCTCCCCAGAGTCACTATCTGTCAGCTAGATGGCTACAAAAAATTGTTTCATTAAATATACACTGCTCAAAAAAACAAAGGGAACACAAAAATAAGACATCCTAGATCTGAATGAATGAAATATTCTTATGAAATACTTTGTTCATTACATAGTTGAATGTGCTGACAACAAAATCACACAAAAATTATCAATGGAAATCAAATTTAGCAACCCATGGAGGTGTTTTTGGAATTACACTCAAAATTAAAGTGGAAAAAAACACTACAGGCTGACCCAACTTTGATGTAATATCCTTAAAACAAGTCAAAATGAGGCTCAGTAGTGTGTGTGGCCTCCACATGCCTGTATGACCTCCCTACAACACCTGGGCATGCTCCTGATGAGGTGGCAGATGGTCTCCTGAGGGATCTCCTCCCACACCTAAAGCATCCCCCAACTCCTGGACAGTGTGTGGTACTGTTGCAGCAGATCCTGTTTCCAAATCAGGACACAAGACCACGAAAGGTTGGAGAATACAGGTTTTCAGGCTACCTCTGGCGAGCACATGGAGGGTTGTGCAGCCCCCTAAAGAAATGCCACCCCACACCATTACTGACCCACTGCCAAACCAGTCATGCTGGAGGATGTTGCAGGCAGCAGAACGTTCTCCACGGTGTCTCCAGACCTTGTCACATCTGTCACAATGTGCTCAGTGTGAACCTGCTTTCATCTGTGAAGAGCATAGGGCGCCAGTGGCGAATTTGCCAATCTTGGTGTTCTCTGGCAAATGCCAAACGTCCTGCACGGTGTTGGGCTGTAAGCACAACCCCCACCTGTGGACGTTGGGCCCTCATACCACCCTCATGGAGTCTGTTTCTGACCATTTGAGCAGCCACATGCACATTTGTGGCTCGCTGGAGGTCATTTTGCAGGGCTCTGGCAGTGCTCCTCCTGTCCCTCCTTGCACAAAGGCGGAGGTAG